GAGATGAGAGGAGGAGGAGGAGGAGGAGAAGAAGAAGAAGAAGAAGGAAGAAGAAGAAGAAGAAGAAGAAGAAGAAGAAGAAGAAGAAGAAGAAGAAGAAGAAGAAGAAGAAGAAGAAGAAGAAGAAGAAGAAGATGATGATGATGAACAACAACAACAACAACAACAACAACAACAACAACAACAACAACAACAACAACAGCAACAACAAAAAGACCAAGAACAAGAACAAGAACAAGAACAAGAACGAGAAGAAAAAGAGGGCTTGTTGTATAAGTGCGGGTCCATAAATGAACAAATGGACGGACAGTTGCACACAAAAGCAAGCTTCCCGTACCGTACATCAGAAGAAAAAAAACATCGTTTCCTTCCCCGTTTTCACTGGGGAGGAGACCGATCTACCACTAGAAGTGACAATTTTGTTGACTGCGGCGCTCTATATTGGTCTGTCATGTTCTTACGTTTTGATGCATTGTAAATTAATTAACAAATTTAATTTAGTAAATCGAATCAAACTTTAAAAAACAAGTCACTTTATTACTGACTATAATATGAACACTGCTGAAAATTCTTAATTCAGTCTAGATAAAGGGAAAAAAAAACAACCTTTATAATAAATATATTGGACGTGGGGGTGATGTGCAGCGGGGAAGCATGTAGCCGGTTTGCATGACACATTTCGACACGATCAAGACGGCCTAATGAAACCGAAACGGCTACGTACATGGCTGGTTGGGCCAGGACACTTTTCCCCCTGCTGAAGGTATCCGTTTTGGAAAGTCTCAATTAAAACATATTTCCATTTTTTTTCAAACCTCATACTTATTGGGGTAACATATCATGCTAATTACTATTCATTAAGGAACATTTTTTTGTTGAAAATTTTGCATGTAGCCGGTTTAGGAACAACACCGATGATATGTGTCCTCTGCGTTGTTAAAGAATTGAGAAGGGGAGCCAGGAGTACCAGTTAAATAGAAAGAGTTAGCAGTAAAGGAGAGGGGAGCGAAGAGAAGGCCAGGGGTTGGGGAAGAAAGTGGTAATGAAAGCAAATGAGAGAACAGGAAAGGATGGGAAAGGAGAACATTATACGAGATAGAAAAAAATTTTGTAATCGCATTCTGGTTTTAAATCCGGGACCTTTTAGATATCGTACTTCTTGACAGGAGAATTCCTTTTGAGAAGTGCTTAACATGATAACAGCCATTTGGTGGAGTCAATAATCAAATGGTTAGGCTTTCGGACTCGTAATCGTGGGGTTGCTGGTTCAGTGATTCGAGCCTCAGGCCCGACGTTGTGTCCTTGGGAAACGCACTTTACACGAATTTTCCTCGCTTCACTCAGATGAGAATGGGTAGCAGACCATAGACAGCCAAAGATTTTGTCATTATGATGTGATTTTGTCAGAAGATGTGAGTTTGATTCCCCAGTGGAGAGATAATTATTAAGTATTGGGCAACTTACACACGGGACTTCCAATATTTTTCTCTGTTATCCTAGGAGGCTAAGTGTTCGGTCTTACCTACACTAAGATCAGGGTTCGTGTGGCTGAAAGACAACATTAACTCTTTGGGTACTTGTTTTCTGGTCCTGTGATAATGCATACAGACGTGCTGTTTAGAGGCACTTAAAAGGAGCATGGATACGTTATTCATACAGATATTCTGTTCTGTTGTCCCTATCTTAAACTTTACAAAGGCAAAGTACAGCTGTATACTCTAAACTATATACAAATTCATGCATCTGATTTGTGTCAGATGGTTCAATTGTGCCGAAACATCGCCTTTGGCATGATCCTGGTTGGATATATGTGTCCTCTTCGTTGTTAAAGAGTTGAGAAGGGGGAGCCAGGAGTACCAGTTAAGTAGATAGATTTAACAGTAAAGGAGAGAGGAGCCCAGAAAAGGTCAGGGGCCGGGGAAGAGAGTGGTGATGAAAGCAGATGACAGAACAGCCCTAGAGAACAGGTAAGGGGGTAAAGGACAACATTGTAATATAGAATTAAATGTTGTCATCGATGTGTTAGGTTTCAAACCTGGGACCTTTTGAATAAAAGGCGAACACCTTACTTCTAGACGGGAGAGTTCGTTTTGAGAAGTACATAAACACGATAACAGCCAGTGCTGTCAGTAATCTAGTGCTACCGGACTCGTAATCGTGGGGTTGCAGGTTCTGGGGTTCGAGCCTAAGGCCCGACGTTGTATTTTGGAAAGTGCACTTTACACGAATTTTCCTCACTTCGCCCAGGTGAGAATGAGTTCCCGACGATAGACAGCGAAAGATCTTGTCACAATAAGTTAGTGCTTTAGTGCCAATAAAAATAGCAGCTTGCACTGCTTTCTTCCCAAAAAGTTCAGATTGTTTCAGAATGCTATCGGGTCTGCTTTGGTAATAATATAAATTAAAAAGCACATAGATCTTGCTGCTGAGCGGGAGTCTGTTCAAGGACACTGGACAACGAACTTCCCATTTTTGCTCGATCCTTTTGGAGATGGACGTTAAACACGGAAGCGTCGCCTTTTAAATAATCTAAAAGCGTTGATGCGGGCGTTATTCATACCATTTCCCCATTTAACCATTTTATTTTTGTATCGGAAAAAGAAGACGGACATGTATAAACAACAGAAGGAGAGTAGGGAAGAAGAAAAGCAGGACCTCGCTATGTACCACTACCAAATATGAGAAACAAACACGTACCAGTAGTAGAAAGAAAACTGTCATGTTTATTTGACAATAAAACAAACTTATAAACAACCAAATCTTATCCAAGCATAAATACTACTTTCAAAGAAAACGACTACTATAATATACAGCAACCACCTTAACTGTAGAGTTATTTCTGTGTTCCTTTTGCAATAAGTTTCGTTATAATTTGATACATATTGACAACACTCAATGATCTGAAGAAAAAAATCGTCATTTGGGACAGTTGTTGATTAATACTTGTCTCTTTGGCTTTCTCGTCACTTTTTATTTTATTTATTTCACTTTTTTTACTTTCTTGTTGAATTCCGTCGGTCAGGTCGGCGTAGGGACATTTTCTACTCCTCCTCTTGCCCAAATGCTAAACAATCGAGGCAACCGCATGACGCTGGTCTACTCTCGTGGTTGTGGCGGCATGCATTTATCCCTACAGCCCATCTCTGTCCTAAAATTGTTAAGGTTACCATTGCACCCACGGTAGGTGAAAGACTCGCATTCACCTGTCTCGGTATTGAAATAAAACCTTTCAAAGCTAGAACTGCAAACGCCTTCCTTTTTGGGGAGGTAACAGTCGCGGTGGCGCTTGGTCCGGATATCAATTTCCCTGATGGGTTCGTTGCAGCTTTGGTCACATTTCTCCATTGTATCGAAGTTGTTCAGGTTGCCGCTGCAGCCGCTGTAGTTAAATTTCTCGCACTGCTGTGCCGTGACGTTGTAGAAGTAACGTTCCATGCGGTCATCACAGGTTCCTCTTTCCAGGTCCAGGAAACAGCGTGCAATGGCACATCTCCTGTTGCAGGATCGTTCGCTTCTGAAGCGGTTAACTTTAGTGTTGCAACCTCTGTAGCGGTATTGCCTGCATTTGCCGTCTTTGATGTCGTAGTAATGATGATTGTGACAAAACCTCTCGCGCCTGCCTCTTTCTGCTCCCTGGGTACAAACACAAGCTGCTCGGCACTCGAACCTTGTGCGGAAGTTGTTCCTATTACCGCCTTCTCCTGAGTAGGTAAATGGCTCACATGACTCGGTCTCCTGGTTGAAGTAGTAGTGGGTGAAAGCGCCTTCGCCAGTTCCACGATCGCTTGGTGGTGTACAGTCTGGGGGTAGAGAATAGAAGATTGTTTACCGTTTTAAAGCTTGAGCGATTGATGGCCAGGGGTCAACCCGGAGGAGCTATAGCGATCCCGCCCTGCCGACAGTTCGGGAGGGGGGGGGGGGCAATAATATAAACACAGAATGTTAAATGTATCAAAACCAGCGTTGTCTACTTTGTTAACCTACAGAATGGAGGTCTGACAGACACTTACATTGACTTTTTTTTAGCGCACAGGGTCAGGTTTAGCGATAGGCTTAGGGTTAGAATAGGATTAGTGTTAAGATTTCAGTGTTTTCAGAATGTTTAAAATATAATTTAGTTTCTAAGCCCTTATCCTCCGTGGAAGTCAAAGATATAACAAAATCAGAGCAGTCGAGCCAATGGTCATATTATGTGCAAGTCTGTCTGAGTATATGTTTTTGATCATGCAAACGCCACAGATTTTTCTACAAGATGTCTTTGGCACCAACTAACTAAAAGAACAGACATTTTTAAAAAATCTATATGAAAACGTGTTAAAGATTTCCACATAGTTACAGTAGTAAGCCAATGAACATAACATTTATTTTTCGAATAATAGTAACGTTATAACAAGCAACGTGTAACGTAATAACACGCCGCTTACAACTTTATTACAAGTAGTAAAATGTAATTTTATTACAAAAAGC